CTAAGTACTCTTTAAAATACCAGAATAGGGAGGATGGTGTAGGTTTAAGTTTATTAGATTGATCAGTATTGCTGAACTATGAAATATTTTGTTTTGCATACAGGTATAACAGAATAGCTTTAGTGTAGTTGTTGTTTTAAACTTGAGTTATGAACTTATACAAAATGCAGCAAGATATAAAAAAACAGTTTTGTTGATTAAAAAACACTATATCGGTATCGGCAGATATCCAAATTTATGATATCGGTATCGGTATCGGACATAAAAAAGTGGTATCATGCCATCTCTAGTTCAGACTGAAAATCTTTTCTTCCTAAGATGATGTTTCCTGTTGCACTCTTCCCTCCTCCTGTTTTTCCCACCAAAATAATAAAACCCTAATGACACAATGTAAGCAACTTAATTTAAAAGGTTTTGTTTTCACCCTACAAGAACATGCTGACTTACAATTTCTTTAAAACATTTGTGTGTGTATAGAATAGAATAGAATAGAATAGAATAGAATAGAATAGAATAAAATAGCCTTTATTGTCATTGTACAGAGTACAATGAAATTGGAGTGCCACTCCCTTGGTGCAAGATAAATAATAAATATAAATGTAAAATATAAAAAGTACAATAAAATAATCGCAAGTACTCAAACAATAGTAAGTACAATATATAAAGGATAACGTGTGTGTTTACAACCCTTCAAAGGTCTGTGTGAGGTTCAAGCCTTGATTTTACTGTTGAAGTCCTTAGAGAGACTGCCAGACAAACATGTCTATACACCTATATACCAGGTTGAGCAGACAGTCACTCTAGGGCAGGGGTCTGAAACTCAAATGAGCTGGGGGCCACTGCTAGCACTGTCATCTCATTGGAGGGCCACTCAAGTGTTCGAGAAGTACAAAAAAACAAAACAAAAAATACACTGACAAATATTTATGAAAATATAGTGGGTTTTTTAAATTTTAAATATTGTATAACACAAAACTGCAAAAGTGAGTGCAAATCTTTTTTCCTTACTAGACCCCTGCTCTAAGGCAATCACCGATAGCCAAAACACAACAACCATATATCAGTATATCCATGTCCAAAAGATGAACACTGAACATTTTTGAATTGGGTTCAGGTCATTTAAATGGTGACACATATTTCAAAATAAATGAGTTTCTTCCATTTCAAACACCAGCATCAAAAGAATTAATTAGAATTAATCAAGAACTTTGAGTTGAATGTGCAAGTCCATTGTTGATCAACAGCAAGGCAAAATCCCCAGAATATTAGAGAGAATAGTATAGAGCAGCGGTCCCCAACCTTTTTTGCACCACGGACCGATTTGTGCCCGACAATATTTTCACGGACCGGCCTTTAGGGAGTTGCGGATAAATACAAACAAAATAAAACTAGTACCGGTCTCGAAAAAAGAAGATTTATTCATAACACACGTGAAAAGACCCAGGAAAACCGAGTTAATGAAAAAAACGATAACAAAATTACGCTAAAAACCGATAAAAACCCTGAAAACCATACATTTCACACCCAAGTCTCAACTCTCGCGGCCCGGTACCAAGAGCCTCTGGCTCTGGCTTCATAATGATATCTCATCTGCACCTTGCACTTCTCTCTGGTGGCCCTTCCTCCATATTTGGCTCTCAGTTTATCAAGCTCTCTCTGCTTCTGTGCTTCCATCTCCTTCAGGAGTCGCTCTTTCTCCTTTTCTATGGCTGCCTCTGCTTTCATGAACATTGCATTGGTATAGTAACCTCCACCATTAACCACAGTCATCTTGTCAATTTTGTCCAGGAGCTGAGAGATTTGTTTGGGATCTTTGATTTCATTGTTGAAGACATGGTATCTGTTACCACACTTTCGAATGATGGCTATGAGATCAGGACTTTCTGAAATAAAGTTTTCAATGGTTTGCTTCTTTAACTGGTCTCCATGTGTAAATAACACCATTGTGTATTTTGCTCCATCTTCACCAAAGGTGGTCTGGATCATCTGAACAGTATCTTTCTCTTCCTGAGTGAACCTGCCCAGCTGAAGAACCACAAGGAAGGCATGAGGACCAGGGGCAGACAGAGAGATGCACATCTTGATCCTATTCAATACTTCTTCTTGAGTGAAATTCGTGTCAAAAAGGCCTGGAGTATCATTGACAGCTACCTTTCGACCGTCAACATTCCCCTTTGCTTTATGGCATTCAGATGTCAGAGAGGATGGTGACAGTTCTGATTCAAAGGCCTCTCTCCCCAGGATTGTGTTTCCTGCTGCACTCTTCCCCACTCCCGTCTTCCCCACATGAACAATCCTCCTTTCATCTGAATCCATGGCACCTTTGTACCCTGTTGGACAGAAACACACTGTTCATCATACAGTGCTTTGTTGTTCAGGGTGGCATGCACATGCAAAATGCAAAAAACGTCTTTTATATGCTGCTTAGAGATGGTGGTAACTCTTAAAGCTGAACCAGTGAGAACCTAATAAGAATCAATAAGAGAACTGATAAGGAAATTCTGACATCCAACAGGTGAAACAGCTCAGAGATTCTCAGTTTCAGTTAATATTGGATTTGAATGCTTATCTCTTGTCTTTGATAATGCCAAAATAAACAAAAAGATTCTAAAGAAATGTTTTGGGGGATTTAAACAGATTTCATGGGAAAAAGGCTTCTCTAGTATTCAATCAGAGTGCTCAAGCCCTGTGTGAAAAGTGATTGCTCCCCTTTCCAGAAATGGCGAAAACATGGAACCATGGTGAAGCTTCCCAGGGGTGTCCAGCTGACCAAGAGTGCAGTGATCACTCATCCAAGAAGTCACAAAAGACCCCAGAACATTTGCCTCAGTTGAAGTCAGTGTTCATGACTCCACCAAAAGAATGTGTCTGGAAGAAAACATCTTGATGATCCCAAAGACCTTTTGGAAAATACTCTGTAAATGAGGGTGTATTGTGATAAACAGCTGAAACACCCAATGAGTTGGGGGTGCACAACTGATGATGTTTCGTATTCGTGACAAATGGTGGTTTACATTAGTCTTCAACTAACTGAAGAATTACATTACTGAAAACACCTAAGGTCAGTTAAAAAAAACTTGCTTCACTGATCCTGTGACAAAGTGGCTGGACTGAATGCCATTTGTCACTTGCATATATTGTTATTTTGTGTTCTGTTATCTTATAGTCAATCATAATGCTTTAATTAGTGATATGCAATACCACTGATTTCCTTTCCGATCCGACACCAAGTAAAATTCAGGGTGGTATCGATGATACTGATCCGATACTGATACTTTGTACAAAAACGTATTTTATTTATTGCATCTTTTATTGTATCTCAAATTATAGAGTCATAATGATTACAGGACATTCGATTAATTGTTCTTATCACTTAATAATGCAGAATTCATCATATAGAAATAAAAAAACTGAAGTTGCGCGCTATTTGAACACGTTGCCTGCCTGCGGCACTAAAGGACTCCGTGAAAGACGTCTGTCTCGCCCTAGCAGCACCTGTCCTGTCCCTCTCCTCTCCTCCTCTTCAATTTGCCTCAACATATGCTCATCATATTCTGTGATATGATTTACTCTGAGGTGTTTGACAAGGTTAGTGGAGCTGCCACAACACCTTACTTTTTTGCCACATGTATCGCAAACCACGCCTCGGCTGTTTGTGGATGTAAAATACGTCCGCACATGACTCCATTTATGCGCAGCCATTGTTGTGAGTGTGCATGCCAAGGGGCTGCAACACATTTATACATCTGTATTTCGCACATGACTATGAAAGGCGGAAGAGGAAGTAGTTCCTTCCTATGTAGACAATCCGAATGATATAGTTTCTTTCCATTGTGTTCCCATTAATGGAACTGGCCTGAGGATCAGCTCTGAAAAGTCGAAGCTCATGCACGTCAGCTCCATGGACCCACGACGGGGGATCTACATCGGGACACAGCTGCTAGAAGAAGTGGAGAACCTACCTCGGTAGCGCGATTTCCCATGACGGCAACGCGGAGGTGGATGTCAAGTGCCACACTGGAAAAGCAGCTGCGGTATTTCGGAGGATGAACAAGATCTGGTTCTCCCCGACCATCTCCCTCAAGATCAAACTCCGCATGCTTAATTCGATCGTGATCCCAACTGCCATTTATGCCAGCGAGACTTGGAAGGTATCGGCCTGCATCAACACCAAGCTCGACGTCTTCCAGCAGCGATGTCTTCGCCGGATTCTGAAGATCAGCACATCTCTAGCTTTAATGTAGACACTGCACATGTAACCTTGGCTCTACATACTATCCCGGGTCTGTTTGTGGTAGCATTGTCTATATATTGAGGCGATCGTGGCTCAAGAGTTGGCAGTTCGTCTTGTAATCGGAAGGTCGCCAGTTCGAGCTCCTGCTCCGACAGTCTCAGTCATTGTGTCCTTGGGCAAGACACTTCACCTGTTGCCTACTGGTGGTGGTCAGAGGGCCCGGTGGTGCCAGTGTCCGGCAGCCTCGCCTCTGTCAGTGCGCCCCAGGGCAGCTGTGGCTACAATGTAGCTGCCATCACCAGTGTGTGAATGTGTGTGTGAATGGGTGGATGACTGAATGTAGTGTAAAGCACTTTGGGGTCCTTAGGGACTAAATAAAGCGCTATACAAATACAGGCCATTTACCATTTATTCATTACATCTCTGCAAATGTTCTTAAAGCGAAATGTCACTTCATCATTAGTTGATTTGAATCTTTCATTTGTTTATGTAGTTTGGTTATACTTACCATTGTGTGTTCCTTGGTGCAGGTCCTATATGTGAAACAGGTATATGGGAATGGCCGCCCCAGTACTTCCTGATTTTATAGGATATGATGTCACTGATCATATCAATTGGGTGTAACCAAATGAAGGGCTGTTTCTTTTGTGTAAAATTGTTTATTTCATTTAAAATAACCTCACGAGTCAGATTAAGTGAAGAGATTGACTTTTCACACTGTTTAGTTGGGTAAATGAGTTTGTTAAGTGGAAAAATGATTTTATTCCTGTTTCTTTGTCTAGACTGTGTTATTTAGCCTACCCTATATTCTAGATGGTAGAGGTTAATGAAGTTCAGATGTGAATGGAATTCTGTATAAAGCAGGTGAGATTTTGACTGTCAGGTTCTTATGTTTTGTGAAACATTTGTTGAAAGGCAATGCTAGAAAATAAAGAAGACTTAAAAGTAGGGGTGGGTATTGATAAGATTTTCACGATTCCGATTCCATTTTCGATTCTGTTTAACGATTCAATTCTTTATCGATTCTCTTATTGATTCTTTTAAAAAAAAAGGAGAACACTAAGGCCGATTAGCTTAGAACTTTGTTTTATATCTTCCCTTTGAACAAGATAGAAATTTAGGAGTAGCATGGCCTTATAAACCCAACAGTGAGATATTAAGAGATCTAGCCTATGGCTCTTCAATGGGGTTTCACAGGGTCCCCGGGGAAAAAAATTGTAAATGTAAAATAATAAAATAAATATTCTTCTGTAGCAATAACAAAGTATAACATAAATTATACTGTAACAATTACACAAGAATATCCAGTAATGTCCCTGCCTACAATTAAACACATTCCCTTACCGAAAATTTGAGGGCATCTGCTGTGGCAAATGGGTGCAAGCCTTTTACCACAAACTGAGTCACTGCTCGGTGACATTCGTCTATCCTGGCCTGAAAGTAGACGCTACCGGTAGACTGCAGTGACAACTGCCAGCGAGCGCCAGCCAGACTCTGTCTGTCTCTCTCATCATGGTCACCTAAATGCAGCACACAGTAATGGCAGGTTTTGTAATAAGGCAGATCACACTAACATAATATGCACTGTTAGTTGATTATTTACCTGCTGCATTAACGGGAGAGGACGTACAAACGTTACCGCTGCTGCTGGGTTGAGATTCATGAATCTGGAGTGGAATTAAAATCACGACATTCATTTAAGGTCATCGCGTGTTTTGTGAGCAAATGCTTTTGCATATTTGTAGTGTTCCATCCATCCATCCATTTTCATCTGCTTTGTCCAGGGCCGGGTCGCGGGGGCAGCAGCCTAAGCAAAGAGGCCCAGACCTCCCTCTCCCCAGCCACCTCCTCCAGCTTATCCGGGGGAATACCAAGGCGTTCCCAGGCCAGCCGAGAGATATAATCTCTCCAGCATGTCCTGGGTCTGCCCCGGGGCCTCCTCCCGGTGGGACATGCCTGGAACACCTCACCCAGGAGGCATCCTTGTCAGATGCCCGAACCACCTCAGCTGGCTCCTTTCGATGTGGAGCAGCAGCTGCTCTACTCTGAGCCCCTCCCGGATGGCCGAACTTCTCACCCTATCTCTAAGGGAGAGGCCAGCCACCCTTCGGAGGAAGCTCATTTCTGCCGCTTGTATCCGCGATCTCGTTCTTTCGGTCACTACCCACAGCTCGTGGCCATAGGTGAGGGTAGGGACGTAGATCGACCGGTAAATTGAGAGCTTCGCTTTTACACTCAGCTCCCTCTTCACCACGACGGACCGGTGCAGCGTCCGCATTACTGCAGCTGCAGCCCCAATCCGTCTGTCGATCTCCGGCTCCCTTCTCCCATCACTCGCGAACAAGACCCCGAGATACTTGAACTCCTCCACTTGGGGCAGGATCTCATCCCCGACCCGGAGTGGGCACTCCACCCTTTTCCGGCTGAGAACCATGGCCTCAGATTTGGAGGTGCTGATCCTCATTCCTGCTGCTTCACACTCGGCTGCGAACCGCTCCAGTGCGAGCTGGAGGCCCTGAAGCCAACAGAACCACATCATCTGCAAAAATCAGAGATGAGATTCTGAGGCCACTAAAGCGAAAGCCCTCCGCCACTTGGCTGCACCTAGAAATCCTGTCCATAAAAATTATGAACAGAACCGGAGACAAAGGGCAGCCCTGGCGGAACGCTGGACCAGCTCTTTATCCTCTCCAGGATACTTGAGGGTGCATGGGAGTTTGCCCAACCAGTCTACATGTGTTTTGTGGACTTGGAGAAGGCATTCGACCGTGTCCCTCGGGGTGTCCTGTGGGAGGTGTTGCGGGAATATGGGGTGTCTGGCCCATTGCTACGGGCCATTCGATCCCTATACAACCGTTGCAAGAGCTTGGTTCGCATTGCCGGCAATAAGTCGGACTCGTTCCCGGTGGGTGATGGGCTCCGCCAGGGCTGCCCTTTGTCTCCGGTTCTGTATTTGTAGTGTTTCCTCCCTTAAATGAAATATCTACTATGCAAGTATTGCAAGTTGCCCTGTTGTTCTCGTAAAGTATGACCAAACTTTTTAGCGTTTGCCATGTTTCCTGCCAGGTACTGTAAATGACGCTCTGCAACGTAGTGACATCATTCGGGGTGACTGGAATCGATAAGGAAATTGTTTGCAAAAATGGCAAACAATTCCAAGGAATTGAAACAGTGGGAACCGGTTCTCAACAAGAACCGGTTTTCAATACCCATCCCTACTTAAAAGAAACTTGAACAGTCTGCAGATGCTATTTTGCTATCACTTTCCATGCTGCTTATGTTATGCTACCCCCCCCCCCCCCCCCCCCAACCCATTCAAGACTTGTGCTAATTATTTTAGGGATTTTAAAATCTGGTCCTATCAAGCAACCCATTTAGTCGCTTCATGTTTTTCCCATAGTATAGGTTTATCTTTCTTTGTAAAATCAGACAGCTGCTACTACACTAGTACTTTAATTAGCATCATTAGCAGGAGGCTTAGTTTAAAAAGAAAAGACATGTTTTTCACGGACCATAATAACTACTGTTAGAAATTCTGAACCTAAAAATAAATAATGCTTATGCTAATTGGAAAGCAATAAGTATAACCCTGGCAGAGGGTCTGAGGGGGTGTTCAGACCTTTTTGTAATTTTATACAAACCCTTTTGGAAACAATTCGGATTCAAAGAATTCTAATGAAGCATGTTTCTGTTCTTGTATGACAGCTTGTTCCAATATTAATCTGTAAAGATATTCACAAGTGGATTTCTTTCAGTTCAGTGGGTTTCTTAGATTTAGATTACAATCAAGTATTGATCAAATAAGAAAAAATCCCCAGCATGAGAAAATGAAGCTGACAAGTTTGAATAAAGTATTCCTTGTGTGGGCCTGGTCCTGCCCTGACATAGATCAGCAGGACACAGCAGCAAGCTCAGCCAGAAGCTACACACAGCTAAGTTGATTCCTGAAAGGAAAAGAAAATGAGCTGTCCCCAGACTCTTCTTTGTCAGTGGTATTAAGGAGGTCCTCAAAGTATTCCTTCCACCGCCTGTCTATATCCCCAGTTATAATCAGTATTACCCCAACTGCCACTATCCACTGTGTAAATAATGCACTATATTCCCCTTCTGAATTGTCTGATGGTTTGCTAGAATCGCTTTGAGTCAGACCTGAGTTTCATGGCCTCGCCGAACTACTTTTGCTTCAGCAAGTTCCTGAGCAAGTTCCTAGTTTTCCAGTGTTAATTCCTAGTTTCCATGTTCAGGGTGTTGGTTTGCTTTTCATGTGTTTATTTAATGGAGTGTTTTTCCCAGCAATAAAGCTACCATTTTAAGTTACATTTCCATGTTCGATTCCTGTATGTAGGTCCTTTCTCCTGCCTGCCACACAGCGAAACATGACAACAGTGACCACTGGGTAATTTGTGTTATAAACATGGATAAACATTACTAATTTGTAACGTGGGTTGTATTAAGTGGTTGAGAGGAGGCCGCAGAAACACTCAGCAGGACACTCATGACCACACTGGTACTGGAAATTCCACAGTGTTCGTCTTTTAATAAACACACTCTTCACCAACCGCTGCTGTCTTACATGGAGCAAGCAATGTTCATACAACCTGTAACATTACTTTGAGTTTGGGAGCTGAAAAAACGAGGTCCATCTCAGTCCATGTGTCCATGTGTAAGCACGTTTCTCCCACACTCTACAGAGGGCAGTAGCACATACTTGTGACATCACTAAACATTAACTTGGGTTGTCTTAAAGAGACATCACACAGTTGAGATTGTTATAACTTCCTAATCAGTGTATATGTGTATATAAATTTAATAACCCATCTCAAAATAGACAGAGCCGGGTCCGTGACACAAATCGTGTTATTTTTATTTTTTAACAATGAATATGTCATTTGATGGTTTTTCCTCATTTCAGTCTTGTTTTTCAATTAGACTTGCTTTAATTTGTTTCACAATAAATATATTTAATAACCCATTACTTTACAAGTTCTCTCATTTAGAAGACTTCACTAAAAGGGATATTGTTTATGGACTCATTATGCACAATAGCAAAGATGACTTTCTGGTGAATGCTATAATCACTCTTTGTACATTTTAAATACACAGATCTAAACATACAAAGCTGGCTTTTGTAAAATTTTTATTTCATACTTTAAAGCCCTTATTTTATGAAAACAAAAGATGCAGTGAAACCTTTGAACACAACTGAAGAATGTGATTTAGTTAGTAAGCCCAAATTTACCCCTTTATTTTCTCTTCCTTTTTTTAAAAAACTGAAAGCTAATTTCTTGTAATCACCTGCTCCAAAGGAATCTTGCAGGAGCCATGTTGTTATATATTAATTCTTGTTTTTGCGTCAATAAAAAAAAACTAAACAAAAAAACCTCTTCTAATGCAGCAGACAAATGCCTCACCGTTTTTTTTTAAGGGTACACACGACCCATCCTTAAAATCCGGGGAAAAACGGTGAGGCATTTGTGTACCCTTAAAAAAAATCATTGCGAACACTGTTTGAAGATTTTTTTTTTTTAATTGCGGACGTTCGTAGAACGAAATAAACGTTTAAAAGTAAGTACCGGTGTGACGGGTTTCAACATCACGTGGCCGCTCAGCTGCGCTGTCATGTGATAGAGAATGTGCGCGCGCGTACAGCGTCTTGTCAGCTAGCGCTCAGGATGGACTGCAGAGAGTCGGCGTTATTAGTGTCCGTTCTCCTCTTGGCTTTGGCTTTGTGCTCTGCTCAGAATTATGTCCTGAGCGATGACGGGGGTCTGGGAAGGGTTTTTGATGGAATTGGAGGTTTAAGCGGCGGAGGGGTGAGTTTAGTGTATTTTACTAGAGTACTTCCTTGTACAACACTGCCTCCACAGGAACAATCTGATCTATGCATGCCTGCCTGCATGTTTCTGTTTCTCTGATTAGCTTATTATTTTACTAACATAACATTTCTACGTGTGCCTTAATGTAGGCGACGTCTCGGTTACTGGTGAGTTATGCGGAGCCGTACCGCAGCCAGATACTAGACTTCCTGTTTAAGGTACGACAGAAGCAACTCATTCACACAGTTCAGTTTTAAGCACGGGAACTCACTGCTCTGTGTTCCTATTTTCAGCCAAACTTTGGAGCTTCTTTGCACATTCTGAAGGTGGAGATCGGAGGAGATGCGCAAACTACTGGTAAAGTACATTTAGTCACACTACATTTCTGACAGTTTCTAATTTGTTACTTGTTACATTTCCATTTCTCTGCTGCCAGGTCTGAAATGCATTATGACACACAGCTAAAGTCCAGCAGAATGACATAAATTCCTTCTTAACAAGGAAACACTTGTGACATCTGCTTCATATGGATCTTAAAGTCTTGTATGGATAGGATATTGGCTATAATTACCACATATTTTGGTGCTGGGGTCGTGATAGACACTTTGGATCATAGTATAACTTCAAGAATAAACTGACTCTCTCCATTTTTTTGGTATTATTGAACCTCTGATTTGATCAGATGGAACAGAGCCGTCTCACATGCGCTATGAAAATGATGAGAACTACTACAGAGGCTACGAGTGGTGGCTTATGAAAGAGGCCAAGAAGAGGAACCCAAATATCACACTCATAGGTAAGAAGGAACATTGTTTCCTTTTCTGTCTGATAACTTGACAGCAGTAAACCAAAACCAGTAGACATCAGAGGGAAAATGTCATAGTAGGAAACTGAGATTTAGAATCTACATGTGTTGTTACAAATGACCACTCCTGCTTTTCTTGGCATGAACACATTTGGTATTACTGGCAAACCTCATGGAATTTCTGCCAGAACTTTCCACCCATTTACTTCTATCCGGAGATTTTTTTTTTTTTTTCATTTATTTTTTTTTAAAAATTTGAATAAAGTAGTTTTGATATAAAGGTTACAATTCAATGCATGCAGTTATTTTATATGGAATGTAAATAATACAATAATATTATTGATATTATTGAAAACTTTAACAAGTCTGCTCAGTTTGTTGGATAGATGGTGGGGGTGATTGGAAATGTGACCAGATAGTGAAATTTATATTAAATGTAACACAAAAAGAATCATTGTCTTTTCTTGTGTGTCTGCTTGTTTTCATATAGGTTTGCCCTGGGCGTTTCCCGGTTGGGTGGGCCGTGGCAAGAACTGGCCCTATGACTACCCGGATGTCACTGCAACATATGTGGTGAACTGGATCCTTGGTGCCAAGCAGTACCATGACCTAGACATTCAGTATGTTGGGGTGTGTATACCACTTCTCAGATTAGAATGCAGCTCTGCACAAACCCACAAAATTCATGCAATAATCATCTCTACTTCAACACATTGCTTTTGTGGTCCTTACAAAGGCTGCTTCCTCAAAAAGTGAGTGCTTTGCAGCTTGGTGGCTTTTGGCATGTTTTGAACTTTCCTTTCATAACAGGATTATAATTAATTAATATAGCTATTAATTATAATTCTTTGTTACATTTCAAACACACACATTCATTTTTGAGCTCTGGTTAAACTGTTTGAACATCTGACTGCTTGCATTATCTCTCAGTATCTCTGGCATTCTCAGGATTTTAATAACCAAAAGTAGTAATGGCCAAAACTTCTAAACACTAAGCAGTTATTTGCAGCCACCTAGTGACAGTAAATTCTCTAATGTAAGTCCTGTTACCAACTTCTGTATTTCATCAAATATAAACCAGGAATTGGAACAAAGATGGACCTCTAGTAGCAGATGTGAATATGGTCAATGTGACCAAGTGAAAGCCAGCCCACAAACACAGGGAGGAAAAAAGTAGTTCTGTTAATGTTAAATGTTACTTATTGCTCTCTAAAGTAACTTACATGGCTTTGATTCATTCATGTTGTCTTAATCCTGTGCGGCTGTTGTTGCATGGAATTAGCCCTGTTAGAAAATGAAGGGTTTCTGTTCACTAAAGTGTGACTTTAACATGGTAAGTGGGAACATATCAAAACCTGACTTTGTTGTAAAATGTGACAGATGACATTTATTAGTTGCTTAGTACTGAAGGCCTGCCTGGAATATAAAAGCTTTACCACGTGATACTGGATTGATGGATTTGCAGGAAATTGAGCCTGCAAAAGTTTGTTTGCAAACTAAAATTCTCTTTCATCCATTTAGATCTGGAATGAGCGAAGCTTTGACATCAAGTACATTAAGGTAAACATAACTTACTGTTATCTTTCATTGTACTTTTGTCATAATGAGTAGCCTGCAGTGTAAATTGAAGTAGAAAAACAGCCACTAACATTGAGTTGTCCTACTGAGAGATGCAGTGTGACGGTGTTTGGGATGATTTTAAAGCTCTAGCCGAGTTCCACTGAGAGCATGTCTTTGTCGCCAAAGGTGCTCCGGAACATGCTGGATAAAGTTGGTCTAATTGGTGTTGGCATCATCGCAGCAGACGGCGATTGGAGCGTCGCTAATTCTATGATCCTTGACCCATATCTTAATAATTCTGTTGATGTGATTGGGTAAGTACAGAGTCTCAAGAAGTTTGAAATGAAATGCTCCCACTGCGTAAATCATTGGACCAGATGGCACAGTAAAAGCAGAACTTTTACCATGTGCTATAAGTTTACTTGAAGGCTATTTGGTGCTTGACAACTGATTGCGTAAATCCGAAATGTCCACTGAGTTTGGGTGCGTCTCTGTTAAAGCACACTCTTCTTCCACAAGTACCCAGCTGAATGTTTGTGGCTGTTATTTTGCTGGACTTGAAAGATAAAGTCGGAGCTGAATCATGTGTAGGTGTGTTGCTGCTGAAAAAAAAATTTCAGATCTGCCACATTTCTTAGGTGGTTTTAAAGCTGCATTAAAAAAATGTTTTTAAATATGAATATTGACCCAATACAGAAAGTAATCATAAGTGCTGAGAATTTTTTTTTATTGAATTTGCATCTGTCTCTCCTGGGTGACAGCATGTTGATGTGCTACTGTAGGAAAAAACGAATGACTACAGTTGTGCCACACACTTATACAATCAAGCACCTAGGCATGCAGACTGCTTCTACAAACATTTGTAACAGAAGGGGTCGCTCTCAGGAGCTCAGTGAATTCCAGTGTGACGCCGTGATAGGATGCCACCAGGACAACAAGTTGTTTTTCAAGAGTTGGGTTCAGCCTCTTATTTCCAGTGAAAAGAAACAGTCCATAGATCACAGTTTTGAGCCATTTTATTGATTTATTGGTTTTAACTCAGTAGGCGTGATTGCGGATGCCACGCAGTTGCATCCACACTGCCCCACTACAAACACATAGTGAAACACTGTCAGTCATGGACTGACCCATTAACATTACTGAAGCAGTGTAGGATCATCTTGACAGAACAGAACAAATGGCCTGTAAATGGTAAATGGCCTGTATTTATATAGCGCTTTACTAGTCCCTAAGGACCCCAAAGCGCTTTACATATCCAGTCATCCACCCATTCACCCACACATTCACACACTGGTGATGGCAGCTACATTGTAGCCACAGCCACCCTGGGGCGCACTGACAGAGGCAGCTTGTTAAGGAATAAAGGTAACCATACCAAATATCAAGAGTTAGTGTAAAAGCAGATGAAGCTGATCACCAGCCTCAATCCCTGCCCCCCTCAAATTCCCTTTCCTGGACACATGACTGTGATAGCTGGCCTGGTGAAGAGACAGCTGGAGTGAATGCATCTATGTTCCGTTTCCTAGTGTAATATAAAGAAAAAAAAGGAAAGGTTCAAGACTTTACAGTAACATTGTAGCATCAGAGAGCACCAAAATATATCAAACATTATATGAAGGACTGGGAGCCATAACCTCAATGATCACTTATAATATCTTCTCTTCTCTTTTGGCTCTCGGCGAAGGCAGTTGCACTTTTCTCCTCTCCTCCTTCCCCTTATCTTCCCTGCTTAGCCTCTTGTGCCCTTGTCTTGTCTCGTGTTTTTACTTTTCCCTGGAACAGTCTCTCACTGTCGTTCTCTAAAACCTAAAATAGAATTATGGATTTGATCAACTGGTCTCTGAATGCTATTGACACCCTTTTCTCAACGAGAAGTCTGGGCTTGGGAGAGCCCGAGTGCCCTGGAGGTACTTTCCCTGCCGGATACACGATGGACGGGTGGCAGACATAGAGGATCGTGTGCTTGGCGGGACTGTCGATCGAGGACGCTGAAGATATCTACCTATTCGGAACCATGATAACAGGGTTCTTGCTGATCGGAGCTGGCTTGGCCCTGGCTTATCGGAGAATTAAGAAAGCGGAACCGGCTGTTCAAACCCCTCCAAGGCTGCCCACTGGGATTGAAACGGTGGGACGAGGCGCGACTTCTCAGAAAGAGCTCACTGAATGCAGCATGGTTAAGATCTTGGAGAAGCTTACAGCTGCCGTGAATACTCAGAATAAGACCTCTGAGTAGAGCTGGGCAATATAAGATTTTTTCACATCACGAAATGTTTTTTTTCATTTCAGGCGATAACGATATCTATCATGATATAAGCCAAATAACTATATTTGTAAGATTTAAATGTGCCGTTGCTCACAAGTAAAGTGTGAAATAATCAGCAGCTTGTTTTTATTTAAATATTTATTTCCCATAATAAGTTCAACAGGGTAGATGTACTTAAGGAGCATGAGACTTTTTCAGATAAATAAAGGCAAATATTGCAAACTACACAAAAGGCTATGGAACGTCAGGACTGCCATAATGAATTAATTAAATACACCATTAAATAATTAATTAAATGTGACAATAATTAATTAAAAT